ATGGGATTTTACCATGTTGGCCAGGCTGGTCTTGACTGCCTGTCCTCAGGTGATCCACTCACCTTGGCCTCCCAGAGTGCTGGGATTACAGGTGTGAGCCACTGCACCTGGCCTTCTCTCAGCATTTTAAAGACATTATTGTATTCCTTTGTCTTTCAGTTTCATGCATTGCTACTGAGAAATCAGATGCCATTCTGATTCTGGATCCTTAATGTGAAACTTCATTTCCTCCTGGGCTCTTGAAAGATCTTCCTTATGTCCTCAGTCTTCTGAAGTTTTGTCACGATGTGCCTTGGTGTGGTTCTGGTTTTGTCCATTGCACTGTGCTCAGTGAGCACTTTCAGTGTGGAACCTCATGCTCTTCAGTTCACAAAATACATAAATGAATTATTTAATTCATTTCTGCCCCTGTTTTCCAGATGTCCAGGGCTGGCTTTCTAATCTTCTTATCCTTTCTTATTTCTTTCCCTTCTCTTTGCCTTTTGTCTGTGCACTCTAGGATATTTTCTAATTTTATCTTCTTAACATTCTACTGAGTTTTTCATTTTTACTATCATATTTTTTATTTAAAAGAGCTGTGTTTGGTTCTATGAGTGTTCCTTTTTTAGATTATCTATTTATTTACTTATTGAGACAGGGTCTCACTATGTCGCCCAGGCTAGACTGCAATGGCTATTCACAGGTGTGATCATAGCACACTACACCCTCAAACTCCTGGGCTCAAGTGATCCTCCAGCCTCAGCCTACCAAGTAGGAGGGTCTGCAGGCTCATGTCATCGCTCCCAGCTTTGCTGTTTTATTTGGTCTTTCTCAGAGAAGATCAATGATAGATTTCTCAATGTTTTCTTCTCCCCATATACTGTTTTTCTTCCTTGTCTCTTTTTTCCTGTTAGCATGTTTTGGGTTATATCTTTAATGTCAGATCCTTCCCTTATATTGTGATGACCTTCAGCTGCCTGCTCTTATTTAAGTGTGCCAGATTTAGCCAAAAAAAAAAAGAATAAAAAAGACAAGACATCTGGTTAAATTTGAATTTTAGATAAACAGTGAATAATTTTTAGTATAGGTATGTCTCATGCAATATTTTGGACATACTTATAGTTCATGACTATTTTCTATTTCAGTAAAATGTTACTTTTTGTTTAACTGAAAATCAAATTTAACTAAGTGTCCTGTATTTTATCTGGCAACCCTAAGAGTGAGATCTACAAAGCTGCCTGGAGGCCCTGAGTGCACGTGTAAGTGGGTGGGGCATGACAAGGGTGAGTTTCCCAACAGGTTGCTCCAGTTTCATTGCATACATAATTACATCTTTTCGGATCTTTCCTCTTAGATTCCCCAGAGAAGAGTATTCCAAACTCCCCATCCTAGTGAGTTTGATCCTGGCTGCCAGAGTTCTAGGAGCCAAGTGGGAAGAATACCAAGCAGCTTAGCAGACATCATCTTAGGTTTCATTTGGCTCTTCAATTTCAGTATAGTAGCCCTAGTCTTGTGTTAATCTCATGGCCTTGATGAAAGATGTCTGCAAATTCTTTGCATCCTCTCACCCCTCCCTATTAAGGGATGAAGCCTAATACCCTTCTCTTGAATCTAGGCTGGCTTTGGTGACTGTCAGGACCTACAGAATGCACAGAAATAATGTTCAACAGCTTCCAAGCCTGCATAATAAGTAGTCTTGTAACTTCTGCCTGGATGTCTTGGAGTATCCTTTCTGGAAACTCCGAGCCTCCATGAAGGAAATCTGACTACCCTGAGACTGCCATGTGAAGAGAGCATGTGTAGATGCTCTGGTTGACAGTGCCAGTTGAGACCAACCTTCCAGCTCTCCTTATCATGATACCTAATGTGTGAGTTCTACAGACTGGCCCATCTGCCAGCTGGATAACACCAAGTGACCTTTGTTGATGTCACATGGAACAGAAGACTGCTCAGTTCCAATTCAGACCCATAAAATCATGAGATAGAATGGTCATTGTTTTAAGTCACCTTCAAGTTTTGGGGTGTTTTTTTAAGGCAGCCTTAGGTAACCAGAACACTTCAACTGCATCTGGTGTCCCCATTCCAGACAGCCTCTGCATGATTCTTCAGAGAACATGCTTCCAATCATCCGCCCTCGTGGAAGAGGAGCAGTGGCCGCTGTGCAGTGTTGAGGATGCTGACTGCTTGAACAGACTCACAAGAAATCGTCCTGGGTTTAGTTTCACCTACACACCCACTTTCAGACACACCCAGTGTGGCAAACTCTCTTATCCCAAGAAATCCTACAGTCATGTTGCTTCATGGATTTCCCTACTCCTGGTTTGGAAGTTGGCTTTTTCAGGCCTGCTAAGTCAGTTGTTATCTGTCCACATGCTTTCCAGGTTTCAAACTTTTATTTTTCCCTCTCTTGTTCCCTTGTCCTTGTGAGATTTTAATTTTTTTTTTAAAGTGGGGGTTTTTTTGTTTGTTTTTGGAGACAGGGTCTCACTCTGTCACCCAGGCTGGAGTGCAGAGGCACAGCTCACTGCAGCCTCAAACCCCTGGGCTCATGTGATTTTCCTGCCTCAGCCTCCCTAGTGGCTGGGACTAGAGGCGTGTGTCACCAGCTTGACTACTTTTTTTTTTTTTTAAAGAGACATGGTGGATGGGGGAGAGAGTATCATCATGTTGCCCAGGCTGGTCTCGAACTCCTGACTTCGAGCCATCCTCCCACCGTGGCCTCCCAATGTGCTGGTATTACAGGCGTGAACCACAGCACCCAGACCTATCTTTAATTTAAACACTCCTTGGAGTCGAATTTTGACAATTACATTAATTTTTAAAATACCCTTAGATCAGGTTTCCTAGAAACAGAGCCTGAGCCTGGGATTCTTGTGCAAGTGCTGTAGGGACGGTATTCTCGAGGGAAGCCTCTGAATAAGTGAGGGAAATAGGATAGGCCAGAGGGAGAAGCAGAGCAAAGATATGGTTTCTGATGAAATTTAGCCTCAGTCTGATCCCATGAGAGCTGGGCATATGAGGGGTGCCACAGATTTATTCCTGGCCTTTTGTACCCCATAAAATTTAGGCTCTGGCTGTGGCTTCCCCAGCCTTGTGTGAGTGCAGATGTCGGCAAAAGAGGGCAGTGAGGGGGCAGTGAGCTGGGCTGGATGCACCCACCTAGTAAAGGTTATTCAAGTGGGTGCCAACAGCATCTGCTTCATTCCTAACCTTTATTTTTTTTCGTGTAGCCTAATTTTTTCTTTTAGAGACAGGGTTTCACCATGTAGCACAGGCTGGGCTCCTGAACTCCCGGCCTCAAGCAACCACCTGGGCCTCCCAAAGTGTTGGGATTACAGGCGTGAGCCACCGCACCTGGCCTAATTGTTGCTTCTAAGAGATGCATTGTCACTCTAATGTTTCTGAGGAAATGAATTATCTGTATTTCATTTTTTCCTACTGTTTGCCCTTTAATTTTTTGTTTTGTTTTGTTTTTGTTTTTGTTTTCAGACAAGATCTCACTCTGTCGCCCAGGCTGGAGTGCAGTGATGCAGTCATCAGTCATAACTCACTGCAACATTGAATTCCTGGGCTTAAAGCCACCCTCCTGCCTCAGCCTCTTGAGTAGCTGGGACTACAGGAGCCACTACAGTGATCGGCTAGTTATTTTACTTATGTTTTCTTTTCTTTCTTTCTTTTTTTGAGACAGTGTCTTGCTCTGTCACCCAGGATGGAGTGCAGTGGCACAATCTCTGCTCACTGCAGCGTCTCCACCTCCTGGGCTCGGGTGTTTTTCCCACCTCAACCTACTGAATAGCTGAGACTACAGGCTGACGCCACCACACCCGGATAATTTGTTGTTGTTGTTGTCGTTGTTGTTTTGAGACAGGGTTTCAACACGTTGGCCAACCTGGTCTCGAACTCCAGGGCTCAAGCGATCCACCTGCCCTGGCCTCCCAAAGTGCTGGGATTACAGGCGTGAGCCATCGTGCCCAGCCTTAATTTTTAAATTATCATATGCAGCTAGAGAAAGAACCAGTTTTAGAATCCAAATCAGTCTGATGCTAAAACCCGTGCTCTAAACCATATTAAACCACCTTTTAAAATTCCATCTTAATGAAATAATTTACTGTCACCTCTCCAGCTTTAAGGGTGCCAGTAACCACTTAGATTTTGATGTGTCGGATAGAAAACACTCCCCAAACGGGCTACTCTCGTTTTTTTTTTGTTTGTTTTTTTTTTTTGTTTTTGTTTTCCAATTGAATTTGCCTATAGACTCAACGGATTCATTCTGCAAGCATTCACTACGTGCCGGTATCGGTGCTGAGCATGGGTGCAAGACGACCTAGCCCTAGCTGGTGGCTTCAAGAGGCCGTGTCCAGCAGGGGAAGCAGATATGGACACACAAAACTATTACAAGGGGTGAGCGCCGCGCCAAGCCGAACCGGGAGCTACGGACAGTGTCTAAACCTCAATCACTCACGGAAGTAGAGAGAAAGATCCGGGGCTGCTCCTAACTCCTACTCCAAAGCTTTCCTGGCCTGCTGGGCGCACAGGGAAGGTGGAAGTGTGGAACTGCTGGAAACTTTCGGGAATGTGTGTTTTCATGTGAAAGAGGGAAATGAATGTGCCCTTTAGATTTCACTTTCTACTTTTCCGGCCACGGGCTCTGCCCGAGCGTGCCGCTGAAAGAGAAGCGGTTTCCCGGGTAGGAGGGAAGCGCGGATTCGCGGCGGGACTCTGGCCCCGCGCGGCGCTGGGCGTGGCCGGCGCAAGGAGGAGCTGGCGAGGTGCCCCGGGCTCGGCCCTCCGAGGGTGTGGGGCGCCCGGGAAACCGGGACCCCGAGAGTCCAACTGCTCCCACCCTGAGGGGTCAGGAGCGGCGCTGGCTGGACAGGGGACACCGTCCGATCCCGGCAGCGGGGAGAGGCCGGGGACCGGGTGGGCCTGGGGCGCGGGCACAAGCGGAGGGCGGAGCCGCCGGGGGTCGAGGCCCGCCCCTCGCAGGGATCCAGGCGCTGCAGTCCCGGCCCGGGGCCCAGGTGCGCTTCGCCTGGAGAAGAATTTTCCGGTCTTGTGGGCAGAAGAACAACCAGGAACTCGAGCTCAGTCTCCACCCCAAAGTGGGGCGGATCCGTCCGGGATAAGACCAGCTGTCTACCCTGAGCAGGGTGTGACCACAGCAGCCGCATTGGAGGAGCGCAGCCTGGCGTCGGTACGAGGGGCAAAGGGGCTCCGGGCCGGGGGTCCTGGGCTCAGGGAAGGGGGTGGGCGACCCGGGAGCATCTCGCGGGGATACCCGGCTCCGCTCCGCGCCCGAGACGGGGTGCCTGTCGCCGGCTTGCGGGCCAGGACGGGCCGCCACAGGGAGGAGGGAGCCAGTGGGCCCGGGACTCGCTCTGGGTGGGCAAGAGGGAGGCGAGCGCGGTGCTTAACCACCGGCACCATCCAGGACAGCCAGGGCCGCTTACACAGCTCAGGACGCGGGTCAGAGACCACAGCAGTTATTTATTCAGTACAAGCGCTGCGCCTAGGCATGAAAAAGAAAGGACCGATCATCTTGCTTGTAGCTAACTCTAACACCTCTTATAGTTTACTTTTTAATTCTTTCTTTCCTCCGTTGAAGAAACTTACTCCTTTCTCCTAGATCCTTAACACTTTCTAACCTTATCATGTGTCTAATGCCGTCAGCACAGTGCCCGGCACATTGGAGTCTGATTATTATCAGGTCCATGACTTGAGTTGGCCAAAGGTGCAGTCTCACAATACCAGCTGGAGACTTTGGGGCCAAAGAGGATTGCTTCTCAACGATTTGCCGGCTGAAGTGCTCCCCGCCCCGCCAGGTCGATGCAAGTCTTCTGAGCTGATAGAACATAGTAGGCCCTGCGTAACTCGTGTTTTTCGTGGAACTGGGCATATGCTCCCTCCCGCTGACAGTGGGAAGGATAGATAGGGTGTCCTCCAAGTTATCCATTCCCCTGCCCACCAGCCCAGGACACCCCACAACTCCCTTCCATTCGCTACTGTTTGCCCTTTAATTGTTTGTTTTGTTTTGTTTTGAGACAAGGTCTCACTCCTGTAGCCCAGGTTAGGGTGCAGTGGCTCAATCTGCAACCTTTGCCTCCCAGGCTCAGGTGTTTCACCCACCTCAACCTCCTGAGTAGCTGGGACTACAGGCTCACCACCTACCTGTAGTCTTAGCTATTCAGGAGGTAACTGGTGACTCTATTGATAACCAAACCCTAGCTTATTTTTTTTTTTTTTTTCCCTGAGATGGAGTCTTGCTCTGTAGCCCAGGCTGGAGTGCAGTGGTGTGATCTCTGCTCACTGCAACATCTGCCTTCTGGGTTCAAGAGATTCTCCTGCCTCAGCCTCCCGAGTAGCTGAGACTACGGGTGCGGGCACCACCATGCCTGGCTAATTTATATATTTTTATTAGAGATGGGGTCAGGCTGGTCTTGCACTCCTGACCTCAGGTGATCCACCCACCTCAGCCTCCCAAAATGCTGGGACTGTAGGCATGAGCCACCATGCCCAGAGGCCAAACCCTAGCTTTTTAGTTGCCAGAGAATTCTCAGACACAGGTGGAAGAGCAAATAGGAAAAGAAGTGGACAGGAATAAGAAAATGAATAACCCCAGCCACTCAAGAGCTGCTGACTCCCCAGAGCCCTATCAGGCCAAGGCCATCTTCATTCAGCTCAGGTCAGATTTCTGTTGATTGAGGATATATACACAAGTACACCCCTGCCCCCACCCACACATAGGCACAGACACACAACTACTAGATCAAGGGCTTCTGTGAATTTTCTTCCTAGATGTTCTTCCATTTGGTTAGGGATAATTTTTCTCTGCAAGCAATTTAGAGAGCAACCCACACAACCAAGCCATGTGCCACTCCAGCCCTCAGTGTTTAAAGGGTAAGCCTCCTGGTCACCCTCAGGCTTACATCCAGTGGCACATTTCTTTGTTTATGTCCAGCCAGTCATTTGTTTTCCTGAGCTCACTTATTGTCTGCTTGGAGACTAAGCCCGCTTTTCTCCAAAGGAGATCAAGATGAGTGGCAGGCACTGGGGATGGTGGGCAGTGTGCCAGGGAGTACCTGAAGCTCCAGAATAAACAAGGGGGTAGGGAAGCCTGGGCAACATCGCAAGACCCCATCTCTACAAAAAGTTTAAAAATTAGCTGGGCATGGTGATGCCCACCTGTAGTCTCAGCTACTTGGGACACTGGGGAGGGAGGATCGCTTGAGCCCAGGAGTTCAAGACTGCAATGAGTTATGATCACACCATTGTACTCCAGCCTTGGTGACAGAGTGAGAGACCCTGTCTCAAAAACAAATAAGCAGGCAAACAACAAGAGGAGGAGATTTTCTTTGGGTGTCAATTTTACCCAAATATTTGAGATCAAAAACACTTTTTATACTAAAACAATCACAGATATATTTTGAAATAGAATCCAAAAATTATATACCTTTTAAATGTAAAGCAAGAAACCTCAAAAATGTTTTGCTTGGGATTTGGGCTGCGATTTGGTTCAAACCTAGCCCTTGGGGGTTTGTTTTCACTGCAATTAGGGCTACTTATGGAGACAGTTTGATAGACACTGCAATGTCCTCCCCGGAGCGACTTTGAATAACACTCATCTTAGGCTGTCTTATCTAATCTTCACTTCAACCTGCAATGGGGTTATTAACATTGGTTTACAGCTGAGGATCCCAAGGTTCCATGTCATGGTCTTTGGTCAAATTCAGACCACTTGTGAACTGAAGCTTAAATCCAGCTGCGAGGATACCAAAGCCTGTTCTCTGCCCTACCATGACTCATCAGTGCTTGGTTCATAGTGATTTGGATTTGTGGCTTCGTAGATTGTTAACTAAATCTTGAACAAATGTTTCCTTTTCTTACTTTCTTCTTGTCAAGCTGATGTGAAATGAGGTTGAATGAACTAGCACTGTTTCAACTGGAAAGGGACCACACCTGTCCTTCCAGCTACTTGGGCGGCTGAGGCGGGAGGATCCCTTGAGCCCAGGAGTTTGAGACTGCAGTGAGCTCTGGTCGTGCCACTGCATTGCAGCCCAGGTGATAGAGTGAGATCCTATCTCTAAATAAAAAGAAAAAGAAGTTTGTGGTGAGTGTGGGGGTGCATGCTAGCCAGCAGCCCCAAGTGCTAGAGGTGTTTGACATGTGGACAAGGTAATAAACTCACTCTTTGAGGTGTTTGGCAGAGCTGGGTGGTGGGCTCTGGTCGAATTTGAGGAAATGGCTTTTAAAACCCATAGGCCGGGCAGGCCTTGATGTTGGCGAGAGCTCTCTCACCAGAGGTGTCTAGGCAGAGGTTCACAGACCTCTTCTGATGGAGCTGGGAAGGGTTAGCAGGTTAATCTCAGATAACTTCTAAAGCTATACTTCCCAAACTTCAGCGTGCATCAGAATCACCCAGGAAGCTTGTACAACATGCAGATTCTGCTTATTTAAGCAGCTCTCTGGATGATTGTGATTCGGGTCTCACTTTAAGACTTAAACTATGCTTTATTTTTATTTATTTATTTATTTATTTTTTGAGACAAAGTCTCTCTGTCACCCAGACTGGAGTACAGTGGTACAATCTGAGCTCGTTGCAACCTCTGCCTCCTGGGTTCAAGTGATTCTCCTGCCTCAGCCTCTTGAGTACCTGGGACTACAGACACGTGCCACCACACCCAGCTAATTTTTCTGTTTTTTGTAGAGACGGGGTTTCGCTATGTTGGCCAGACTGGTCTCGATCTCCTGACCTCAGACTATCCGCTCACCTCAGCCTCCCAAAGTTCTGGGATTACAGGTGTAAGCCACCATGCCTGGCTGAGAAACTATGCTTTAGAAACACTTATATGGATATGTGCATACTTCATAAATGAAATAAAACATTAATAAAAACATATCACCTTCTGAAGGAAACTTAGGTTTTGGTCATTATGTACAAACTCTAGATAATGTGGTAAATGCTAAAACCTTCCCTTCTCATTTTATTTTTATTTTATTTATTTATTTATTTAAAGAGACAGGGTTTCACCATGTTGGCCAAGCTGGTCTTGAACTCCTGGCCTGAAGTGATCCACCCACCTTGGCCTCCCAAAGTGCTGGGATTACAGGTGCGAGCCACCATGCCTGGCCAAAACCTTCCCTTCTCAAGGATAGTTCTTTTTTTTTTTTTTTTGAGACAGAATCTTGCCATGTCATCCAGGCTGGAGTGCAGTGGTGTGATCTCGGCTTACTGCAGCCTCCGCCTCCCGGTGATTCTCCTGCCTCAGCCTCCTGAGTAGCTGGGATTACAGGTATACACCACCATGCCCAGCTAATTTTAGTGGAGACGGGGTTTCACCATGTTTGCCAGACTGGTCTCGAATTCCTGACCTTGTGATCTGCCTGCCTCGGCCTCCCAAAGTGCTGGGATTACAGGATTGAGCCAAGGATATCCCGGCCAAGGATAGTTCTTTATTATACCAATAACATCTCCCTTGCTATTTGATTAACAGGTTCCTTCCCACCCCCCAAACTTACCACGTAGCCTTACAGTGCTAACACCTCTGGACCAATATGGAGCTCCAACTAATAGTTTTTTTGTTTGTTGTTTAACTTAATTGAAACTGAGATGGGTTACTACATTAGTTCCCTGAGGAATTTAGGATTTCTATCTAAGGCCTGTTGTTGGTTTTATTGGGAGTAATTTATTAATGTTTGGTTTTGTTTGAACTGGACTAAGAGTTTTTGCTATGGAAACCTGAACCACCACCTTTGGAGAACTCTTTTTAAAGGTTAGAGTTGTTTGAGGTCAGTAAATTGCCATACTGCTTCTTGGTCCACCACTGCTTGACATAAAAAACATAGTGAATGTTATATCCACAATCAGCACCAGAAATAAATTGCTGCTCAGTGTCAGACTGTAAATTACTATGGAATAGACCTTTCACAGCCTTGGCAACGTGGTGAATTCTGTCTCTACCAAAAACAAACAAACAAAAAAACTATAAAAATTAGCCAGGGATGATGGTGCACTCCTGTAGTCCCAGTTATATGGGAGGCTGAAGTGGGAGGATCATTGGACCCCAGGAAGCAAAGGTTGCAGTAAGCCAAGATTGCACTACTACCCTCCAGCCTGAGTGACAGCAAGACTCTATCTGAAAAAACAAACAAAAAAAACTTTCATTTTCCTCCTCCTCCCCACAAAATAATTAACCC